AACATGATTTTTTGAGTTGATTGGATGAGTACGATAGTTGACTACAGTCAAAACAATTGATCAAATTATTTTGACATTTACTATATGCTGTTGTTTACAAAACTCAGTTGAAAATATATGAAACTAATTATGTCACAAAACACAGGTCAGACTTGCATGAAAATTGTGATTTTGAGTCATTAATGATTGGTTTTTCCTATGGTAAAGTATTTTGTACTGGGAATAAAAAAAAAAAATAAAAAAAAAACATGTGTCAAAATAAATAACCTGTATTTGTTAGGTTGAATTATACACAGTCTTCATTAGTATCTTGATTCTGAACAGACAGGGTCGTACTGTAAAATACTTTATTTTAGCTGGAATTAATTTTTGCGGAAAAGACTTTTTGGGTGTTTTGTTTGGAATTTATTTTCACTGATTTTTGATGAGTTGAATGTAAAATATGGGGAAAAGTGTATATTCGCTGGAATTTTACAGTATGTTTATTTTGAATATCTGCCAAATTTCCATTCTCAAGTTAATTCCAACATAGTTTTTGTTGTTGTTATATCATTAAATATTCAGCATAATAAATAATATTCATATTCAGCCTCCATCAGCGACAGCCCCACCGCTTGAGAAAATGGACCAATTTTCAGGGTATGAAAATATGGAAGGTACACCATTACAGCCACCTCCTAGCTACAATGAAGCACTTCACTCACAGCCACCACAGAGCCAAGATATGGCAACAAGGTAACTATAATATAAGTGTTAATAATTATGTCTTCCCCAAGCATTATGTCATGTTTGGTTTGGACAAACAGAAAATAATTAGAATGAAAGAGTAATGGATTTGTATTACTGTTACATTTATTTCTGAAATTTTGTCAATTTAGTACAATTAGTCAGGTTCACTATGTTAAGAAATGTAACTTCATTCAATTTTTTTTTGGAGATTAGCAAAACTATACATTTTTTAGAATCTTCAGAGTAATGGAGAATCTGAAAACCAATGTTGGCATTTGCACAAACACCAGGATGGCCGCCATCTTGGATTTGTAAAATGGCCGCCATAAAATACATAATTTATGATATCCCACCTTCAATTCAACCTTGAAACATAGTTAAATAGGCTAATACTATGACTAAATATGGACATACATCTTGATAAAAAAATTTGAAAAAAAAGATAATAATTAAATAATTCTGCAGTGTTATTTTGTGAAGTATCAACGAATTCAGTGACTTTATGATGGCAGACTATTTTGATGGTTTATGAAAAGCTTGTTGAATTCTTGCATCATTTGTTTTGCAGAGTACCAGTTGTTTCTGAAGAACAAGCAAGAAATGCATTGCTCGACCATGTTTCTCAGAATTGCTGTTTTGGTTCGAAACCAGCAAATGAATTGATCTTCACCAATATTCTCCCATCAAGCGCATTCCATGTAAGTTTAAATAGATTGTGTGTGGTACATGCATATGTTCTAATTCAGTTATGCATGGTTTAGGCTTGTATATTGTTAGAAAGCGCTAAGTAATCATACTATGCCCATATTATAGTTACATTACATGTATGTATATACTTCAAATTGTTCGAATGTGGTTTAATTGACTTGATAATGTTATGTACTGTTCCAGCAGTGTTTTCTTGGAGAATGCCTGTAGTCTATACCATCTCTCTGATGAAATTGACACATACATTTTCAATTTAATATGTGGTACTTTTGTGATGTGATTTCTCCCTCTCAGTATTCATTGGAATCCTACACTGAGAAAAGGTCAACTAAATGGGCCTATGAACCATATCATGGTGAGTAAATAATAATATTATACATATATGGTGTTTTGAATATAAACTATAACTTTTGACTTAATTTTGCATATTTGTTTTATAGTTTATGCAAATTTGTTAGTCCCCGTTCGGACGTAGTCCGAAAACGGGGACTTATGTTTTGCCCTGTGTGCGTCCATGCGTGCGTCCGTGCGTGCGTCCGTGATCACCTGTATCTCGAACATGCATAGACCGATTAAGTTCAAACTTCACTCATACATCACACATTATATGGGATATATGCACATGCATTTTTTTCATGATCCG